GTTAAAATTAAGTTATTTATTTCATTCTTAAATAATTATTTATAAACTTTTACACTAGCACAATTAATTTACTAAAAATGGACTTTCTATAACGAATCATTTTGTTCTTTATAAAAGCAATTTTAACATTCTCAAATGGCGGTAAGATATAGAAACACATTTTATTTTTATCTCATTACCCGTTTGTGAAAAATATTGAAATTAAATCAAGTTCAACTCCCAAGAAAGTGATATTACAATTGAAGGTTATAATAATCTCATACAAGTTAAAAGAAACAAATTGATTTATTTTTCAATAAATACAATATTTAAGTATCAAAATTAGGGTAATTGTTATTTTATTAAATAACATACCATTAAATTAAACAAAAATTATATTAGTGAGCTACAATTTGAATAATAATACAAAAATGATCATTTAGTATTGAATAATAACTTGGAAAATTTACATGTCATGTCAATCTAAATAAAAGATCATTATTCCATTGCCTTTAAAATGGAAAATAAAGAAGAATAAATGTATGTACAACCATCTTAAAAACATCGATATATTCACACATTTGCCGATATAGATTGTTAGCTGTCAAAAGGTAGTTGAGATACCTATAATTTTTGGTAAAATTATTCTGTTTTTTTGAAGAATAAAGTTTTTTTCTTTTATTTAGTAATATGACCTATTTATATAAAATTATCTTTTTAATATTATATAATACAAAATTATTGCTATTACATATGGCAAATACTTTCCATTCATTTAAATCCATGATAATTAATCATTTTAAACGAAATTTCAATTATATTATTATTAACTAGTTTGATTTTATTCGAAAACAAGAAGAATCTTTAATTGAATATTATATAATATAATTTAATATATTATAATATATTTGTTTACAAAAAGGTTTATATAAAATTGCGATAATGAGTTACACTGATAAATACGCAATAATAAATCGAATTAATACGTTGTATAAATACAATTGTTTAATTCAACATTTTTATTAGTTAGTGTTTGTTATTTTATAATAATCAAATATTTTATAAATTTTCTATAGTAGATTGTTTTCCTTGCACTATGAGACGAGCTAAATTTAATAGAAAAATATTAATATTATAGAAGCTAATTCTAGCATTCTATTTTTTGCATAATCTATTTTTCAATTGACACGGGTATTAGTAAGCTAATACAGAAGGTGAAATTTCGCAACTCGAAATTAAATACTTTTAATCTTCTCTAAAAATTTTCTGTCATTATCCTCTCTTTTTTTTTCATATAGCATCTATTTATCCTACCTATTTCATCTAAATATTATATTGCTCTTGGATATTTTATTAATTGTATGTATTCTTGTACTTTATTTCTCATCTATCATATTAATTTATGATATTTCTAATATTATAATTAGCAACAAAATTAGGTCATTAGAGTGACATTATCAAATCTTATGATGATATTTCGCCGTAAATAAAAATATCTTAAATAAATGAATATTTTGAATAATATCGATATACGAACTAATATATTTTTTCACCAACAATCTATAAGTGTATTTAATAAAAATTCAATAATCATTAGCTTTCATAAATGGTTGAACAAATTTTTTATTTATAAAATTGGAAGCCAGTATTTATTTGATAATCTTGATACATAAAAAAAATTTACCTTTACTAAATAAAAGGGCATAATCAATATTATGTATTGAAACATAAAATTAATTTCTATTACATTACATTACAAAAACAAAATATTAAAACATTTATAATAATTATAAGAATAATTTTCCAAGTTCAATTTATTATATTATTCTAAATTACATTCGCATTTATGTAAACATGCTATGTACGCTGACAAGATACTGGCTAAAGCATCAATAGAATAGTAAAGTTGAACGATAAGCGTAGACATTTCTTTCCTAGTGAATCATCGAGGTTATTAATTAGACTAATATAGAATGCAATTTAATATCTATTATGTATAGAAGATTATAGACTAATCAACACTTTTTCTCGTAGCTTAGAATAGACAATTATTATACAGTACAAAAGGTTGAAGCCAACCAATCGTTATGCTTACAGATCTACAAATTGCACTTATATAAGATCTTTTACCTGCTAAAATTTACGTTTCAATAATATACTACTTATAACAATATCCTGAATAACAACTATTACTCGAATAACAACAACAAGAAAAGGTTTTTTAAACAGGTCAAATGAAAAAGTAAACTATCAATATTATTTTACGTAATCCACCTTACCTCTAATCAACATTTTTTAATTACAGCTATAATTACATAATTGAATCTGATCGTATTATTTAAAAAATTCGTTTTAAAAATACAATTTTTGCAATAATTGCATTCCGTAATTATAAAATTATTTGATTACTATTCCACAAGTTAATATTAAATTAAATATAATTAAAGCTTTATAGTCACCATTTTAACCAAAATTCAATGTAAAATAATTTTTATGTGCTTCTGATGGGGTACAGTAAAATATATTAATTACATTCGATATTCAATATATCATTTCAATATCATTTGCAAAACTCTTGAGTTTATTCAAACTTTCGTCTTAAAAAATTGATATAACTTTGTTATAAAAACAAATTGGTTGAATATTTATTAAGGAATAACAGAATTCGGAAGGTAAGTAAATAATAAATCATTAATATACACATAAATTGTTTCAAAAATCTTTTATCGGAAATAGTCTGTAAAAAAATTAAATATTTTATCTATTGTGATTTTAACTTTTATTCCGTCCTAAATGTTACATGTACTGAAATTAGTTTTGACTATAATTATACTTTATAGCTTGAATATAATAATAACATAATTGAATAGTCATATATAAGAAAATTATTATATAAATAAATTGAATAAAATAAATAACTGCTAAAAACCTCTTTTATATTCCTCATATTTACGAGTCTATTCTTTTAGAATTACAATTTATATGGATATCAATATAAGCTTTGATAAAATCAACTATAATTTTCATTGCATTATATATTTTGTATTTTTATAATTATTGAGAAAAAAATTTAAACTTACTAACCATACTGAAAATAATTATTAGAGATAAGCGAATAGCTAAAGTAGAGAGATTGCGATATTGTTGTATCAGATACTAAATTTAAGAAGCAATGGAAAATTGGTATCTGGAAAGACTGTAAAAATCACTTGCTTTAGAATCACAGATTTGCAACTAAATTACATACAAAATGATAGGTAATAGAGAAGCAGTAAATGGAGAAAATTTTACATTGGGTTTACGATACATTTTGCATGCGTCGAGAGTATATATTGCAGCATGCATTGATCGAAGCATATTAATGATGTAAGTAAAACACTTTAAAGCAATATTTTCGTGTTTTTATAAGTTTACTTGTAAACTAGATAGTTTATTAATTACATAATATTATGTCAGAAGTAAAATAACCAATTCAATATAATACAATGATCTTGTCCTGTTGTAATGTAACGAAATCTTAGAAGTCTAAGAAATTGCGCAAATTCTTACAACAATTGCCTGCATTAATTAATAATTGTACTTTTATCAATTTTCAATAAAGTGTATGATTAATTATACCATACTTTAATTTAAACATTTTTTTTATTTGAAGTAACTAAATCTATGTTTAATTATTATCCTATAAATTAAAATTGTTGGGAAAAATAATATGTTACCTAATTTATTATAACTTTCTGCATTAATAAAATTTTTTTTTCTTTACGAATGCGTTGATTGATATTTAAAAATAATGTTTCATAAGAATAATAAAAAAGATTTCTAATATATCATAATTCATATCAATAATCGTAAGTTCTTCGATTTACTATCTAATAAAAAATATTTAAGATTACACTAGAAAAATATAATTGATTGGAACATATGGCATCGTAATTTTATATCAAAATTGCATGATCATTCAAAATAATAGCAGAAACATGATATTTAGAGCATGAACTATCATATAAATTAGAAAATATAAAAATATTAGTGAATATAAAAAGTCTATTTTTGTACTTACATGAAATTTTATGATGTAACGATAATATTTAACGTTATAAAATTGCTGGATTTTTAGTTGGAGAAATTTTTGAAAAAAACATGTTAGAACTGGATAGTGAAAAGTAGTGTTATAAGGATACGTGAAAAAAGTTACGATACGGTGATCATAATATTTCAAAACAAAAGCATCTTAGAAAAAAGAAAAAATGTCAATGTTATTAAATAAATAACTTATAAAAAAAAAAAAAGGAAATTGAGATATATTGTATTAGGAAATAGAACATTACATAAGTTAAACTGGTTACAGAGATTCACAGAGTATCTGTAAATTCGTTTAAAAACGGATGTTTATTTGGAATATATAAAAATTTGTATAGTGACGATATTGATATTTCATACTATCAAATGTATTTATTGACATATAAACTAAGTAATTAGTTAGATAATTTTACTTCATATAATAGCAATAATTTTAACTTGATATTTAACAATAATAAAAATAGTAGATGATGAAAAAGAAAGCAAATTTATATTTAATAACTAATCTTATAATATATTGTTTAGTAATTGATTATTTGTAATACGATCCAATAATCTCCTAAAACTAATTATTGATGAAAATTGAATGCAGCCAATTTTATCGAACCCATTAAACATAATATATAAAGGATTTTTACCTTCATTTATTATTAATTTATTTAATGTTTTTAAATTAATTTATGTATTTTTCTTTTTAATAAGCCAAGAATCCACTGTAAAGATCTTTCTGTACTCAAAAGAAAAAAAATGATATACCGCAAGTACACAATAAAGTACAAAACCGCAGTAAACAGATACTTTCGCAAATATAATAACTGACTAACTTATTACTAATAATTTAATTTAACGACTTATACCCTCATCTTTGCAATAATAATGTAATATTATCTCTAAGCCGTATCAGTGATCTATGATTTCCCTATTCATTTTCCGAAAAGTAGCTTCCATTCCTGCAATTCACGAATGGCGGGATAAGAGTGAATTTCGGAGGTTACCACGCGCAAGCAGGTCTTGGCGGTCTCCTGACAGGATCGAGTAAGGATGGAGGTCTGCACGCCAGTGCCGGAACTCCCTCGGGTGCACACGCCAGCGCCGGCCTTGGTGGTACCATCGATGGAGGTCCTGGTAAGCCTCTTCCTTCGACAATTCTCAATTCTTCTTTCATTTATGATAATTTATATAATGTGAGTATATTTCCTACGTATGTGGAGAAACACCGCTGGCAACATTTTTACTACCATGCGACTTAATCATTAGAATAAATACTTGAATGTATTAAATCCATTAGACAGGATCGGAGAGAGAGAGAGAGAGAGAGAGAGAGAGAGATTTTACCTGAACTTTTCAAGCATTTACATAATATAAAATCTAGTCTAGAACCATTGATATATAATTATCTTAGTAGGAATTTAATTTATTTTACCGTGCTAAATGCCCGTGACAATACAAAAAATTCCAATGGTTTTTATCCAATTTTACAGATTTTGTAACTTCAACATGTAAATAAGTATGAAAAGTTTGAATTTAATTAAATGTAAAAATGCATCCCTTTTGCATTTTGCATGCATTTTTCACGAATTTTTCACGAATTTTTCACGAATTTTTCTTGTACAATAATAACAATTGAATTTAATACTTAATATTCTCCCGCTTTAATAAGCATCGATTTAACCAAATAATTTATGATATCGCTTATATATTTTGCCTAATCGACGAATAATCTAAGAATATCGATAATTCATGCATACAAGAGTTAATAACAGAAATTGAAAAGTTTAGTTACACGTTAAATGCAAAATAACTAATAAAAACTTGTGCAACATACTATAAATAGATAATAACGTCGATCATAACAATACTCTGCAAATTTAACACCATTATATTTTTGAATATTGTCAAGAATTATTATGTAATTGTATAACTCAAAATATCATTTTTATAGACATGATTCTTAGTAAATACTTTCACCTACTTAGTAAAATTGAGAAAATGATTATATTCTTGGGAATGATATAATAGACTGTTATTCTTTTAATCTATTGTATGTGTAAAAATACTCAGTATAAAGGTAAATTATATGCCGATTGCACTATAATGTAACATATATTTCTTTGAAATACCATGGAATTTTCTCTTTTAATCTTATGTGCTTTTTAATTAAAATACATATCACATTCGACCTATTCAAATATATTAATTACTTATCTCAAACAAATTATTAGAATTTTCTTTGTGTTTACCATAGACATTTTTTCTTAATTGTTATTTTCTAATGTCCCTTAATCATTCATTTACAAGCTGAACTGTGAACTTATTTTGCTCATATAATGCGATATATTTTCATCGCTACGGTTTCTTATACATTAATACATATCATGTGTATAATTAAAATTAAAATATTAAATACAAACATCGAATAATTCTGAATTTTTCTGATTTTTTTCACTTTTACATATAATTCGCAAGCATAAACAATAATTTAAATTGATTGATTGATTAAATATTAAAATTATTTATGTATTATCGTATACGTATGTATTATTTCGAACATAAATGGTAAAATATATCTAATTGAACGTTTCTCCATAATGTCGATTAATTAAAGTAGTTTCATATTTATTGTCTTAATATTTATTTTTTTACCAAAATTGTGCATTTTATATGCCGTAAAATATGTAATAAGTTACGATAACACTGGACATTACATAAATAATATCAACCATTTAGATTACATACACATTACGTGCCAATGTATGACAGTTATCTTCAATAATTATTCCTCTTTATATTGTAATTTGTTAGGCTGCGGTATTTTTATCGAAGCTACATCGAACAATACAACACCAATACCTCATAAACAATGATTGACAATATAGACCATCATTAACTTTTTTACATTGCGATTCGTAATGGTTTAAAAATTAAATTCACGCATTGTTGAAAATAAATTTGCTAATAAACTTTAACAGTCAGTAAATAATGAGGCCTTGATAAACCTTAGGCTCTGAATGATGTCTGAATATTATTTATAAGTGTGAATGTTCACACCCGGATAGTTATGTGCACACAATACGCTTTCTCTTGACTCATTAAACGAAAAGAAATCCTGTTGTTCCCCCTGTGATCGAAGCATCGATTACCTACATCACTCCTCATCCCTACACCATAATAGAAGAGTAATTATATCGAGAGAAAAATAATGCATTGCAGCGGGCGGCCTTCATGCACGAGCGGGTCTGGGTAACGGAGGTCCGGAGGCGGAGGCTGGATTGGCAGGATCGGTCGCCGGTCCACGACCTCAAGGCATTTTATATGCAGATTCGTCCCGGGGGAGCTTCGCTGTCCTCGACGATACCAACAAAATTGAGAATTTAAATACGCGTAACAAAAATGTCCAGATAATACCGCGACATAAGAAAGCTATTAATCAGGTAAAAATCATCCACTCACGTAGTTACGTACACAATCGTTGAAGCGAAGAGGACGATTGAATGAGTCAATCTTGCATGTACTCAATACTTTTATTACTGTTAAAACTGTTATAATTTCATAATCTCATCCAATGTATCTTCTAAATACTCTCAATTGTTCCTTTATTTTTTAGGAAGTTTTACGCCAATGAACTTTTTTGGCATGATAAATATATCGACATTAGATACAAATACAAATACTTCTATTATTATTATTATATTACTGAAAGTGAATAATAAAACTTTCGTACAATAAACTTGATTGCTTTGAAAATTTGTATTTGCTATTTGACACAAAGAAATAATAATAAAATATAAAAATCTTAATGGTTGAAGTATAAATTATATAAAAGATTTTTGATGTTGATTTGCGTAAAAACTCTTTGAAGAAAGGTAATTAAAAGTAACGGTATAGTAATCGATAATAGGAGATGTTATTAGTTTTTAAGAAAAAAAATGTTAGTTAAGCATAGGATACCATTTGCCCTATAAGCATAGTTTTTTTTTTCTTATTCTGATAAATGAAATAAAAAAAAAGTCTAATGAACGTGAAAATTTTAATTACATACAATTTTCACTTATCATTATTATATAGAAAATTTGAATACATATCTAATAATGTCAATCGTGTTATATTGTTATTGCATAATTTTTTGTAACGAACAAAGTATTATACAAGTAATGGTTAATCATTACAATTCAGTTTATAACGCAACTGTTCTTAATAATTAAAAAACTATTTTTACCTAGACTTTAAAAATTTCAAAACTAAATCAACGTTATTCCATAATTAGGAATCATCCGCTTCCACTTCTTCTGCTGTGATAACAAATCCAGTAATACCAACCAAGGATGGTAAAATTTTCTCATTACATTTTTAAATTATAAATTATAATTAGTATTATTAATAATAATACATAATTTATAATTTATATTATAATTTTTTAATCATGATTTTTTTTTATATATAATTTTCTATTTCTAATTTTAAAGTATAATTCTAATAAATGTGCTAAGTATAAATTAATATATTATTATTAGTAAAGTTCTAAAGAAACTTAACCTTTAGAATCGTATTCAAAGTAGATTATTAATATGTACAAATATAAAAATAAAAGTATATATATATATATATATATATATATATATATATATATATATATATATATATATATATATATA